CACCACACAACTATTGTGTGAACTAGACCGTTCCCATTATATAGGCACCATCCCTGCACTCTTGATCTCTGTAGCTCTATTTCTGCATAAGCAAATAAGACTGAAGTGTGAGCAGATGCCCCCTGTCCTGTTCTGTTGCCCCTCTGTGTGAATTGATTTTGCCTCTTGTTGCACTCTGCTACCTTGGAGAATTTTTAAAATTCATTTAGGAATTGGTGCGTGCTTAGTTTGCTACAGTTTTTTGTTGACATTCTGTTGACAATGTGCATTGATTTTAAAACTCTGTGCAAAAAGTATTGTTGATGTGATTGTGCAATTACATGAAGATTCGTTGTTGTCATGTGATTTAATCAATGCCCATGTGAACTCCTGAGCTTCAGCAAACTGCATACATGCTCTGAAAATTTGAAAGAAAGATTGGTGGACTGAATCATAGAATCACAGAACTGTAGATTTGGAACGATTCTCTAGGGTCATCTAGCCCAACTCCCTGCAATGCAGGAATCTCAACTAAAGCACAAGTGACAGGTGGCCATCTGGTCTTTCCTTAAAAAGCTCCAATGATGGAGAGTCCACCACCTTCTAAGGGAGTCTGTTCCACTCTTGAACAGCTCTTACCGTCAGAAAGTTCTTCCTGAGGCTTAGTCAGAATCTCCTTTCTTGTAACTTGAAACCATTGATTCAGGTCCTACCCTCCATAGCAGAAGAAAACAATCTTGCTGCATTATTAGCTACTTCAGAACCCCCAAATCCAGAGACAAATTTGGATGAGGAGAATTTTGTAAATATTCCTAAATATGCTACTCTTAAGAGAACACTTGTTCTCTTCTGCAAAAATCCGAAGCGTTTCCCTCATCTGGTCATTGAAATTTGCTCACGTACATCCCTGTGAATGGAAAGGAAGCCAGGTGTTCTGGAACCCTCTCCCCAAAAGCTTAGTTTTATGCAGCTATGCGTCACAAAATCTCTTAACCTCTTCGCTAAAATAACCACGATTCAGGTTTAGATCCAGGTTATGTCCGTAAGAGAAGAGCCATGGGTGGGAACGAGAGGGAAAGAAAGAGGGACTGCAGAAGGGGAAGAGGACAACTGTGGAATAAGCATTAGAGGGAAATCTTATATATGATTACCAGAGCTGCTCTGAGATAATCAGTCGTGTAATTAGCAAATACCTAAGGAAAACACCAGACTTGTTTATTTGAGCTGGGCACCCGAACACAGGAGGCAATCAGAAAAATGAGGTTGCTATTTACATTGGGTTATGTAAGACGTACACGGTGGATTTGAGATAACCAAGAGATTGGGTTTCGGATGCATGCAGCTGTTTGCAACTTGGTACTAGCCACCTGTGTTCTTTTGTATGCAGGTCAAATGGTCACAAAAGCAAGTTGCTACAAAGATGGGCAGGTACCGGTGGATCCTTCTTTCTGTAACCCCAAGACTCAACCGGCTCCTGGAATTGTTCCTTGCAAAATGGCAGCTTGCCCTCCCAGGTAATAAAACCCATCGCAAATTGTGTGTTTCCTCTTGGTGCATGCATTTATTTAAAAATGTTTGCAACACAACGTTTTGATGAAAAGTTTCCGAGGCTTTTGCAGGAAATGTTATAGAGGTTTTGTTCAATCTGCACTGGCTTCCAGTTCGTTTCTGGACAAAAATCCGAGTTTCTAGTCACTGATTATAAAGCTCTAACCTGTTCCGAGACCAGGGGATTCGAAGGGTTGCCTTCTCTGACTGTCAGGAACTGCCCAGGCTAGGAGCAGAAAATGTTGGCCCTGTGTACGGCAGCCCTGTCCCCAGTTTAACTCATTTCAGCCATGAATCCCTTTATTAGCCTCCAATTCCTCTTCTTTTTGTTTCTCCTTGTCCTAACCCACCGCCTGTAATATGGAAATAATACAGTGGTGCCTCGCAAGACGAAATTAATCCGTTCCACGAGTCTCTTCGTCTTGCGGTTTTTTTCGTCTTTCGAAGCACGGCTATTAGTGGCTTAGCGGCTATTAACGGCTTGACGGCTTAGCGGCTATTAACAGCTTAGCGGCTTAGCGGCTATTAACGGCTTAGCAGCTTAGCGGCTTTAAGAAAAAGGAAACAAACTCGCAAGACGTTTCGTCTTGCGAAGCAAGCCCATAGGGAAATTCGTCTTGCGGAACGACTCAAAAAACGGAAAACTCTTTCGTCTTGCGCGTTTTTCGTCTTGCGAGGCATTCGTCTTGCGGGGCACCACTGTACAGTGGTACCTCGGTTTAAGAACAGTCTGGTTTAAGAATGCTTCGGTTTACAAACTCCACAAAACCAGAAGTAGTGTCCCGGTTTGAGAACTTTACCTTGGTCTAAGAACGGAATCCAAATGGTGGAAGGGCACCGGCGGTGAGAGGCCTCATTAGGGAAAGCGCGCCTCGGTTTAAGAACAGTTTTGGTTTAAGAACGGACTTCTGGAACAGATTAACTTCAAAAACCAAGATACCACTGTAGTAGTAAACTACCTTAAATGTAAAGGGACCCCTGACCATTAGGTCCAGTTGCGGACGACTCTGAGGTTGTGGCGCTCATCTCACTTTATTGGCCGAGGAAGCCGGCGGACAGCTTCCGGGTCATGTGGCCAGCATGACTAAGCCGCTTCTGGCGAAACCAGAGCAGCACACAGAAACACCGTTTACCTTACCGCCGGAGCGGTACCTACTTATCTACTTGTACTTGGATGTGCTTTTGAACTGCTAGGTTGGCAGGAGCAGGGACCGAGCAACAGGAGCTCACCCCGTCGCAGGGATTCGAACCGCCAACCTTCTGATCACCAAGCCCTAGGCTCTGTGGTTTAAACCACAGCCCCACCCGCGTCCCACAGTAAACTACCTTACCTGTTCTCAAAACCATTTAAACTGAATATTTGGATCGTCAGCCATGCCTGGCTTGATGGTTCTTAAGTTACGAAGACTCGATATATTGAAGAGTGAAATGCTGAGTATTATTACTATTATTTGTTAATAGTAATACCTTTGTCTGCTGTCTTCTGCCTCCTGCTCTTCAGCATCAGGAGATGCTGTACAGACCAGACTGGCCTGGGGAAGGTTGCCCTGGCCTGCATAGCATCACAAAACCAGCCTCCGCCTCCTCCGACGCTGTAGACATATTTCCAGAAGTGCTGCTGCGGGAGGAGGAAGAGAAGTAGTGATGTGCAGGGTCCAAGTAAGTTTTCTTCCATTTTTTGACCCTGCGCTCTGGTGTGAGCGAACTGACTCAAGCCACAGCACAGAACCAAAAAGTAGCGCCAGAGCACAGGAGCTAAAATGGGACATCTGGGATGGGATCAAAAGCTGGGGTGACTTCTGTCCATCCAGGATGTCCCAGTTAAATCGGGACACTTTGAGGTATGCAATTACCTGCTATGGAGCAATAAAATAAGCCCTCCAGGTGTTGCTGACTTTAGGTACCATCAGCCCCGGGAAACATGGGGCATCATGGGAGTTGTAGTCTATAATATCTGGAGAGCACCATGCTGGCTAGACTTTTGACAGAGAGTGGTTGCCAAGGGGATGTGCTTTCTGCTCTCTGTGTCTTTCGACACAGGGGGTCATTTTTCACATGACAAATATGACTTCTCGTCAGGATCTTAGTTGTGTTAGAGTATGGGGGGAAAACGTTGAGTACCGGAGATAGATAAATAGATATCACATTCAGGTTTCCATGCCTCTTATTAAATATAACAACCAAACTCTCATTTGGGATCCTGCAAGAAAAAGTAATACAGTCCAGAATAAAATATCCTGCAGAAAAAGTGCCTACCTAGAATTGCAGTTTCAGAAAGAAGCATACTGTTTTTTATTTTTAGGCACTCCAGCACTTTGAGGACACTTCTAATTTCATTGATCCTGAATCATCGTAGTGAAATAGTTATTTAATCACGGCACATGTTAAAATGGGCAAGCAGTTATATCATGGCTCTGCGTGCACATATAGTGCCTTACATCATTTATGTGCACTCTCTCGAGTTAAAAGAGACATCGCATTGCCGTCTGAACCTTCCAGACATCATTTCTGGGTTCTACATGGGATATTTTAGAATTCATGGCTGCAAGCCCTGAAGGGGTTTGGCTGCAGTCCCAGATTTGAGCATTTAAGCCAGCTGAGTTAGCTCATGAAGTCTATAAATATTAGGCTTACACCAGAGCAAAGCTTAAGCTGGTTGTTAAATTGCTGAGCATAATCGAAACTTGTGCAGCGTAAAACATTTATGTAACATTCTTCTCATGGGTAATAGAAGATGATGATACAATTCCAGTTAATTCCAGTTTAATCCTTATTTATCATTATTATTTATTGATTTGATTTCTCAGATCTAAGGAAACGCACTCACTTCATTTGGTCTAACAGGAAGTGATGGCAAACTGTAGAGCAGGGGGTGGCTAACCCCAGGTTTGGGGGCTGATGGAACTCGCATGAGCAATTCACACATGTACACAGTACCAGTAAGCTATCATTCAGCGGCGTAGCGTGGGTTGTCAGCACCCGGGGCAAGGCAAGTAATTTGCGCCCCCTAACCCCTAACCTGCCGCCGCTGCCAGCTTCTTCTTGCTGCTGCCTGGGCTGGGCTGATGTGGTTCTCTCCCGCGCTCAGCGCTGCGCTGGGCGGCCGCTGCACTGTTCCTCCCCCAGATAGTCCCTCGCTCTCTCCCCGCACCGCACGCCTGGCACCCACCCCCTCCACAGTGGGCGGCGACCCAGCGGCTCGGATCGGATTCGCACAGCCAGCACTGCAGTGAGAGAGAGTGAGTGAGCCAGGTAGGGGCAGAGAGCTGCGAGTGCGAGCACGCCCCCCCCCAGATGTTGCGCCCGGTGCGGCCGGCCCCCCCTGCACCCCCCACGCTACGCCACTGCTATCATTTGACCATAGGCTTATCCACACTTAGCTTTCCTTTGCTCCTTCCAAGCACAGCCCACATGTTAAAACTCAGTGTTCTTTTCTTCCTTTCTTTCTTCTTCCTTTTTCTGCTTGGTAGGTTTTCCTGTGAAAACCTGTTCTTTAAAGCTTAACTGGAGCAAATGGCAATCCGTGAAAAAGCTGAATGGACATTTGCTTCAGTTGAGCACTAAAGAGCGGGTTTTGATGAGGAAAGCTTGGAGCAAACAATAAAAAATAAATGCCTGGATAGAGAGCTTTTAAGCACCAACCTGTGCTTAAAGGTACCTGTGGATAAGCCCTTACAGTGATATTCAAACTAGGCCACTAACAGCAATGTTAGGTATGGATTGAAACAAGGTGTTCTGTGGTTGTGTGACAGAGATGACCCATCATCCCCCCTGACATGACCATTAATTAGGCCTGAGCTGGCGTAGTTGATAGAAGTGAATGAGAGGGAATTTTTAACAGGAAAGGATTGACAGGGACCCTTACTCATGTGCCCATTGTGGAAACTGCAGGTCAAGTCATCCTATGCATGCTTATTCAGAAGCAAGTTCCACTGAGTCCATGGGACTTACTCCCAAGTAAGTGCATACAGCAGGGTCAGGGATCATTCTCCCCTTGTAGTAATAATAATAATAATAATAATAATAATAATAATAATAAATACCCCACCCCACCCATGTGGCTGGGTTTGCCCAGCCACTCTGGGCGGCTCCCAACAGAATATTAAAAACACGAGAAAACATCAAATATTAAAAACTTCCCTAAGCAGGGCTGCCTTCAGATGTCTTCTAAAAGTCAGGTAGTTCTTTATTTCCTTTACATCTGATGGGAGGACGTTTCACAGGGCGGGCGGGCGCCACCACCAAGAAGGCCCTCTGCCTGGTTCCCTGCAACCTCACTTCTCGCAGGGAGGGTACCGCCAACATACCCTGTGACATACCCTGTGATCTCTGAGTGATACAGGAAGGAGCAAAGCTACGGTGGTTTGCACAGCGCAAAGAAGGGACTGGACAACACTCCAAGTAGAACCAAGTGGTTGCAGAGTTTATAGGCTACACCAATGAAGCTGTAGGTAGTTGGGGGGGTCACACTTTTGAAGGCGCCCGCATATAGAAAAACAGAATTTTCTCATAGACATAGGGAGGAGGCTACTGAGATAGCTGTAAAAGCGATTTCTGTGCTCAGCCCCCTTTCATTTGATTTCTTGCTGCTGTTTTCATAAATATCCGCAGAACCAAAGCCGTCTATTCGAGGCAGGGTTTGAGGACAGAATGATGAAGACAGAGAAAAAAGATCTCTTGACTTTGACTTGGTGAGATTAACAGCCCTGAAAGTCCTAGTTCAGGATTTGTGTCCAGTAACAGTTTGGTGTTACATGCTTCACGGAATAATATGTGTTTATGGGAAATAATTATTATTATTATTATTATTATTATTATTACAGTGGTACCTCGGGTTAAGTACTTAATTCGTTCCGGAGGTCCGTTCTTAACCTGAAACTGTTCTTAACCTGAAGCACCACTTTAGCTAATGGGGCTTCCTGCTGCTGCCACGCCGCCGGAGCCCAATTTCTGTTCTTATCCTGAAGCAAAGTTCTTAACCTGAAGCACTATTTCTGGGTTAGCGGAGTGTGTAACCTGAAGCGTATGTAACCTGAAGCGTATGTAACCCGAGGTACCACTGTATTATTAATAATGATAATAATAATAATAATAATAATATTCTTATTTGTTCCCCGTCCATCTGACTGGGTTGCCCAGCAGAAAACATTCATAAGCATAGCATAGTACACACACAGTTTCACCTTGGAGTGAAGTGTTGTTCATTCATGGTTTAGGCAACAAGTTTTGAAGAGGGGGGGGGGGAGGAAGAGATAGCTGTGAAGTAGAACATCCCAGAAGTGTTGACGGGAATGTTTTAGGTCACTTGCAGAGGACTTGGGTTACTGCTCCAGGTTTCTCTCTTTCCGCACTCTTTGCCAATCAGCTGTCATCATCTGCCGGCCTTTTCCATGCCAAGTTCTGATATCGGGCAGTAATCTTGGGGGAAGAGAGAAAAGCATGGGCAGATTCCCGAGGCTGCCTGAAGTCCGCTCCTAAGGTCAATGACTAGAACATCTGTTCAAACAGCAGAACAAGGGAAATTGTGAGCGCAGAGTGTCCTATGATTTCTGTCTGCATTTCATTACTGGTTCATAGATACAGTGGCAGAAGCGGAACATGTATGTGGCTGTTAAAAACAGCAGAAAACAAGGCTGGAGGAGTCTAAACAAGCTGTGCTTATATTGGGTTTAACACATTTTATGTTACAAGGCAGGGACGCGGGTGGCGCTGTGGGTTAAACCACAGAGCCTAGAACTTGCCGATCAGAAGGTTGGTGGTTCGAATCCCCGTGACGGGGTGAGCTCCCGTTGTTCGGTTCCTGCTCCTGCCAACCCAGCAGTTTGAAAGCACGTCAAAGTGCAAGTAGATAAATAGGTACCGCTCCAGCGGGAAGGTAAAGGGCATTTCCGTGCACTGCTCTGGTTTGCCAGAAGCAGCTTTGTCATGCTGGCCACATGACCCAGAAGCTGTACGCCGGCTCCCTTGGCCAATAAAGCGAGATGAGCACCGCAACCCCAGGGTAGGCCACGACTGGACCTAATGGTCAGGGATCCCTTTACCTTTACCTTTATGTTACAAGGCGCATTCTACCCAATTGTAGAAGCATTGGTAGACAAACGTTCTAATGGCAAGTAAGCGCATGCACTGTCAACTGTCAACGGTCAGTTCTTGCTCGGCATTATTATTGTGTTGTCCAGTCAGTTCGGTTCTTGTTTTCCTATGAGTGAGCTGTTGTCACTGACAAATGTTAAATAAACGTAGTTGAGGAACTTTTACTGCCTTGGGCTTCTAACTTCTTCCGAACATTTAACACTTACCAATATGTGATGATGGATTGAGGGGGAGTCCCCATCACACTGAATTATTTCTCTCATAGCAGCATTGAGATGTGGGAGGATACATGATGTAATCTGCACCTTTCTTCTAGAATGTTGTGTTTTGAAATGTGCAATAAAAAACAAAACATTTGACAGTTTTCCCCCCAAAGCATATCATGAATCAGGCAGGAAGGAGGAAGTGTTACTCTTTCTTGCTACTGATTTGCAAAGAGCCATCCAGCAAATTCATGACTAAAGTGAGACTGATGCAGAAATGCTTCGTAAACTGCAAATGAACAACATTTGACAATAACTCAAATTATTCACGCGTACAGTTTATAATAATTTGAGTTATTGTCTTTTTTTTTATATAATATTTATTCAAATTTTAAGGTTACAGAAAAAGAAAAAAGTAAAGAAAGAAAAACTAATCACATACATCCTACAAGAAAAACACACAATACAAGGAAAAATACACAAGACAAAAAATCACAATAAAAATTAACAACAACAAAAAAAAATTTAACTTAAACCATTAGAACCGTTTTCCCATTTACTTATTTCCGTGACTTCCTCTCACTTCTCTGCTTTGTATTCTAGTTCAAATTATATCTCCAGCAAATCCTTCTAACCTTCTTTTCATTTACTTATTTTAACATTCAAAAATATTTAATTCTCCTCTATCTTTTATTTTACACTTCATATTTACTTAATTCCATTATACTCTGTCTGCCAATACGGTCTAATATTCTTCTCCAACCTTTTCTAACATTCTTTTATATTACATTGATTCTGAAGATATGTTTTAAATTTTTTCCAATCTTCTTCCATCGACCCTTCTTCTTGATCTCGAATTCTGCCGGTCATCTCAGCCAGTTCCATATAGTCTATCACTTTTCTCTGCCATTCTTCTCGGGTAGGCAATTCTTGTGTCTTCCAGTATTTCCCAATGAGTATTCTTGCTGCTGCTGTCGCATACATAAAAAAATTCCTGTCTTCCCTTCGCACCAATTGACCAACCATGCCCAAGAGGAAGGCCTCTGGTTTCTTCAAGAAAGTATATTTCAATACCCTTTTTAGTTCATTATATATCATTTCCCAGAAGGCCTTGATCTTTGGGCACGTCCACCAAAGGTGAAAAAAAGTACCTTCGTTTTCTTTACATTTCCAACATTTATTATCAGGCAAATGATAAATTTTTGCTAGCTTGACTGGGGTTAAGTACCACCTGTAAATCATTTTCATTATATTTTCCCTTAAGGCGTTGCAAGCCGTAAATTTCATACCTGTGGTCCATAACCGTTCCCAGTCAGCAAACATAATGTTATGCCCAACATCTTGCGCCCATTTAATCATAGCAGATTTGACCATTTCATCCTGTGTATTCCATTTCAACAGCAGATTATACATTCTTGACAGATTTTTAGTTTTAGGTTCTAACAATTCCGTTTCCAGTTTAGATTTTTCCTCCTGGAAACCAATCTTTTTGTCTAAATTAAAAACCTCCCTTATTTGATAATAATGCAGCCAATCTCGAACTTTAGTTTTTAATTTGTCGAAGCTCTGCAATTTTAGTTTGTCACCAACTTGTTCTAAGATTTCACAATATTTTGGCCAGTTTGTCTCCATATTAGTTTTTTCAATGCCTTTGCCTCCATTGGTGACAGCCACCTTGGTGTTTTACTTTCCAACAAATCCTTATATCTCACCCAAACATTAAACAATGCTTTCCTGACAATATGATTCTTAAAGGCCTTATGCGCTTTAACTTTGTCATACCATAGATATGCATGCCATCCAAAGACGTTATCAAAACCTTCTAGATCCAAAATGTCCACATTTTCAAGAAGTAGCCAATCTTTCAGCCAGCAAAAAGCGGCTGATTCATAGTAAAGTTTAAGATCTGGCAGGGCAAATCCCGCTCTTTTCTTCTCATCTGTTAGTATCTTAAATTTTATTCTAGGTTTTTTGCCCTGCCAGATAAATTTGGAAATGTCTCTTTGCCACCTCTTGAAACAGTCCATTTTGTCCACAATTTGTAATGTTTGAAACAAAAACAACATTTTAGGCAGTACATTCATCTTTATCGCAGCAATTCGGCCAAGCAATGATAACTTCAATTTTGACCATATTTCTAGATCCTTCTTCACCTCTGACCAACATTTTTCATAATTATCTTTAAACAAATTCACATTTTTAGCAGTCATATTCACCCCTAAATATTTCACTTTGTTAACAATTGTTAATCCTGTCTCTTTCTGGAACCTCTCCTTCTCTATCTCTGT